AAAGAAATGCCTGAAGCGGATCTAACCCGGATCTATCGGGTCGGGTTTGTTCAATCCACTCTGGTCGGGTTTGAACGCACGGGGCGAACCTCAAAGGGTACGGAATGTTCAACTGAATGAGGTCGTTGGGACGCACGGGGCGCGAACCTCAAAGTTATGCCCACTGCGCCACCATGCTCATGCCCCTTGGCTTGACACCACGTCACATGCCCCTTGTGGTCATTGCCCCCCGACTTTTTGAGGCCCAAAAGGGGGAGTCGAATTTGCGCGTAGGGGTACACAAAGTGACAACCTCCGGCCACGGTTTCTGCAAACATGCTAAAGCAATACGGCACTCTGCGAATTAATATAAATCCAACCAATCTGGTTTCACCCCCCAAAAAGTGATTCCTCCAAAACGCATGCCTTTCTTTGATGCTTTCAAGAGAAGCCCAAAAGAAACCAAGCGTTTGGCCCATGCGTTGGGCAATCAAAAGGTCCTTTACACGGGATGACCACTAGAGAAACCACCACAAACGATGACCTTCACCACATCGGGGTTTTGCTACCCATGATTCTGGGGACTGAAGGGAAAATCAAAATCAACCCCCATCTGCTTTTTGACTAGGTCCTCCAGTAGAGAGGTTCGAATAAGGCTACCAACCTTTTTCTGTGGTCTAATTTAGTAGGGAAACCCTCCCAACCAAAAAAGGGGAGAGAAGCACACTACTGGGGGACCTAGCTTGTTGTTTCACCAAGCCGCACACCACCGAAGCCGGCGCCACATTTCGGCTTCGTTTCTTCTCCCCAAAAACCGGGCGCGCGAATACATGGTAAACGGGCACTACTGAGGGACCCGGTTGAGAACCCAACTTTTCAACCTGGGCCCCCCGGCGAGGCGCTGCCTGGGAGGCCTGTGCCTTCTTCTTGGCCTCGCTGGGGCCGGGGGGATGGCCCTCAGTGGTCCGTTTGGGGTCCTTGGGCTACCTCTTCTCCCAGGTGCACTTCCCTCCCCCCGAAGTGCAGCTGCACTTTTTGCAGGTGCACTCTTGCCAAGGGAAAAGTTCACAGGCTTTTGAAGACCATCACCAGGGTGCCTGTCCAGCTGCATTGTTGGAAAGAGGGTAAGTAATGTTCTTAAGTCAACACCAAGCGTGACGTTGGAGGGCCCTTTGGGAATTCATCAAGATGCTTCCAAGCGTTGGTTCATTTAGACCAGCCATGACCTACTCTGAGTTTCACCCAAACAAATTCCCGCCGCTGATGGAAATAAGGTATCCTCAGGAAAAGAAACCTCATTGACTCGTATTATGCGAGACATCTAGGTGTGTGATCTTGTTCCATGAGCGTTCCCCCACATTCCATCTTCTGAGCCTCTGAACCTGTTGCTTGTGTGGCCGATTTAGCCAAACAAAAAGGCTGTGGGCAATGCATAGTCTGAGCAGCGGCCTTTCACGGTTCTGGGTGGGTGTGAGACACGGAGACTTGTGGATGGTGTAGTCTAAGTCGATTGATGGGGCAGGGAGTTACTGCAGAGTCAAAGGGCTTTCCGGGATTTCTGCGTCCCTGCAAACCAAAGCTACATAAACACCCCCCAAAAAAACGCCTAGTGCAGCCGATTCCTCTTGGCACTGACAGGTTTTTGGGTTTTTTTGTTGGCCCCTTCTGCCTTTCGGAGGTGGCCAAAACCCGGATCTGACCACCCACAGACCCTGCGATCGAGATGCCCCGAGATCTCGATCCAAGGCCCGCGCCGGCTTCTTGGTTTTACCTCGATGGATTCGCGGGGGGCGCTCCGGACGGAGAAAGAACTCAAAGGAGCGGCCCGGTTTTATGAAAACACGAGGTACCGTAGGTGACCTTCTCGTAAATGGGGAAAAAACGATCTAGAAAAACCCATCTATGTCTAACCAAACTTAACTAACAAAGACGCCTATGCAACCAGATTGTCCACGGCAAACGCCCTCTTTAGGCAGGGGACATGATACCCTGTGTCTCAAACCGGGGTCCCAAAGTGTAAAGGAGGAGCAGTCGGAAAAAGCCGGCACCCGAGTTTGAGCATCTGGTGACTTCCACATATCGCATAGCTGCAGGCTTGGCCATCTGACACGGATGACTCAGTCCAAGTACGGTTTGTCCTTCTGGCCTCCCAGATGTGAACTTCCTCATGTACTCTCAAAACCTTGACTTTAGCACCTACAAGAGTTCTGGACTCCCGGCCAAAAACATGCACCTCTCAGATCCAGATGTTTGAGCTTCACTCTTATCCGCGTTGGCCTACCCAGACCTCCAGTGGATTTCCGTGGGAAAGACTGCTTGGCGTCCGATTTTAATGAGACGCGGATATCTGCTTTCGTCTGGTAAACTTCGACCACGCGCCCCACGAGCCACTAACAAGGCCTTGCTGAAACAAAAATGAAGAGGACGACATCCCATTTCCCCAAATAAGACGTGAACAGGGCCTAGAGCCTTACTTGGAGGCACAAGGGGGAGTTATGTAGCGGGGTCAAATGATCATCGTACTCCCTTGCAGACTAGCATGACGCCGACAAAAAAAACATAAACCGCCCTCTTTTCAGCAAGGTGCATTTGGGGAACCTCCTTTTGGGCCTCCTTTTGAGAAACCTCCTTTTGGGGAACCTCCTTTTAGGGAACCTCCTTTTGGAGGACCTGCTTTTTGGGTGCCATGTTTCTGTGCAGGGAAGCAGCCCCGTACCAAAACGGGCGCTCCCGGAAGTTCGGGGCCGCCTTTCGCATGGTGGGAACATCAAAGCCGCCGCCATGCCTAACCCGACTTTTTGGAAACACCCAACAAGCAACCGTGCAGAACCCCCCCCCAAAAAAGAAGAAAGGAAAAGGTGGACTTCCAAGTGGTGGGCTCTGAAATTTGGCGCCGTGTTCGCTTTTTGGCTAAGAACCTCAAGTTCCGACATGCCCAAATCGGAGCCAAATGAGGCGCCAGTCAACATCTCCCTTTGGCGCCTAAAAATCAAAAGGGTGAAGAGACATACCGACATAAGTTGTTTTTGGCTGGAGGCTTAGGAACTAAAAGCATCTGGTTGACTCCCTATTAGCCTCGAGCCATACTCCTCTTGAGGTCTTTCATCTTTCTCCAAGCCGCTTGCTACCAGGCAAAACTCATCTGTTTGGGTTTTTTCCCCCCCAACTCGGTGCAGCATCTGCAGCATTTTTGACCCCAGCATCGCACCACTTCCGCGATCAGTCCGCCCAGGTCAGAAGACACAAACTTGGACGGGGGCGACCAGGGGACCCAAACGCGGATGGCAGGTCCCCAGCCCTCTTGGGTCATCCACCCCAAATCGGTTAGCCCGTTAGCCCCCAGTGAACATCCCAATCCAACCACTAAAATAGGAAGCCTAAAATGGGTGGTGAATTCACCTATCCCAAAATGGGATCCCATTGGTTTTGAACCATGGCCATTTATTCACACACACACACACTTGGAGTATCACAAACACGCGCAGCCATGTGAGCTTCTCCGCCAAGTGCCATTGCATTGATGATGCACCCTGCGCCAAGGTGCTGGGCTTGGGTTCCTTCTCACGCCTCTCCTGTCGAGTTCGTTGCGACGGAAGCGGCTTCGTTTTGTTGGGGCCCCGTTTGCATGGGACTGGTCTGTCCATTTTCCGATCCCCCGCAACCAACAACCAACCAACAACCAATCAACCAACCAATGAGCCAGCCAGCCAGCCGGCCAGCCAGGGAACCAGGCCCAAGAAGAAGCCAGCCGCAAGGAAAAAAAAAAGCACCCCCATGCCCCGTTTTCAATGCTGGGCAATTGGGACTCGGGTTTCATGGGAAAAAACCCACCTGGACCTCCAGTTGTGTGTTGTGAAAAGGCTGTTTGAACAGCTTTCAAGACCGGGGCTTCCCACAGAAGCAAGCCTCCGCAAATCTTTGGGATTTGGATAATTGCTCCGCAATTCAGGGCTGACATTGCCGGGCCGAGACTTCAAAACAGGTCTAGCCAAAACCAACAGCTCGAGTTGGTTTTGGGTCTAGTCTGCGGGGATACATGCAACCCGGGCGCTGGATATGGACCTGCTCCGATTGCCAAAGCCCATTCGAAGGCCCAGAATCCATGAGATCGGATCAAACCTTTGAAGCCTTCACAGCTGAGCGCGCGTCTTTGCGCGGGCAACCAAACTTAGGTCAGCGAAACCTCCTGGATGCAATGTATGCCTCCTTTTATTCCCCTGACACCCAACTGGACACAAAAACAGCGGTTCTGGGTGAGCTATACTGATTCACCCATCAGGAAAAGGGCCTAAAGGAAGCTCTATAGAAGCCGAGCGGCCAGATTGAGGGAGCCCTTGTGGCTGGTTCTTCAGGGAAGCCCCTTCCAAAAATGGGAAAAGGGGCATTGCGCGTCTCGATGTTGGAGTCTCAGAGCTCCTCTTGCCACGCCAACGTGCCTGGCAAATGCGAAACTTGAAGCTGGGCGTTGTTTGGGGAACCATGCAGACTTTTGAGGATAACTCTTCTTGGGGGGCTCCCCGATTTTTGAAGTTTGCGAGAATTTGGCCACCAGGTCTGTTTCCATCATGGGGTCAACTCAAAAAGGGCCTTAGTTTCAAAGGTCCCTTGAAAAGGTGCATTGGAAGGGTCATAACCCTTCTATACGCGGGAATGTCTTTTTGAGGGCGTCCTTTGCATGTTGTTTTGCAAAGAGAACCGCGCACTTTGGAGTCCCCAATCTGTTCACGTCTGCCTATAGCCCCCCCCCGGATGTATGGGTTTGTTGTGAGGCCGGCCAAGCCAAACCTTTCTTGGAGTCCGCATGTACCATCCCTTGTAGTTGCTCAATATCTGACGTAGTTGGTTTTTATTAACAGACCTTTGAGCAAGTCCTTTCTATAGTTCCGCGTGGAGCTGCTCGGTGAGCCCCAAGTGCGGCCAAGAAAAGGGTGTTTCAAAACTGCTGATGAAGCAGATCCGCTCCAGATTGATCAAAGGAAGGCCCCGCTTTTTGGTGGTATGAGCAAAGCTTCACATGGTGTGAAAGGAATAGGGAGCACTTGCTGCCTGTTTTCTTACATGGCTTTGCACGGAATCTGGGCAACAATTCAGCGACCTGGCCTGGGGCCCCGTCAAGATGTCAGATTTGGTGTTTCTCCAAGGGATCGGCCACTATAGGCTGTTTCCCTTCTTCCCTTTAAACCAGCCAAAAAGTACTAACTTCCAACCACCGCTTTGAGACAAACTGGATTGGATCGGAACCAAATGACGCCTGGTGCAACATGGCGATATGCAAGTCTGGCCCCCGGATGCCGTGCCCGGCAAGAGGGTGTGTCTTCTTTGGCGGAGCCCCAAAGTGGTTGCTGGTCGCTTTGGTTCTCCTTTCAAGCCAAAGGACCTACATAAGTAAGTAGTAGAACCTCCTACGGGCCAGGGGTTTTGGACGCTCATTTGGTAGTGCGCCACGCCCAAGCCGTGTAGCCAGGTGAGAATAAGCTGGACTGCGCTGCTAAATCCGATCGGCCGGGGGTTTTGGAGTCTAATGTTGGACCTCCTTTATTATTGGTACTCGGTATTGTAGAATTTTCTTCCTAATTCAGAATCCTGTGACTGTTTTAACGGTTCGCTATTGTGGCAAGTTTTTTTGCCCCCCCAGAAAAATCTTAAAAAAACGCATAGCTTTTTTCTTCGCTTTCTGGATTTGCTCGGGCTCAGGCTAAACTTGCTAAGCCTTGGTAGCTCCTGTTCAGCTGGAGGCGGGTTCTGAGCTAGCTAGAATTTGGAATTTGTTTTCTTGAAGTGGTCCCCAAACCGTCAAATTTAAGATAACTTCTTTACAAAAAAGTGCGGGCAAACAGTCACACAAAGGGGGGTGCCCACAAGAGGCCCAGATCCTCTTTAATGCGATTGTTTTGGGGTCCTCTTTAGTGTCCAGTGCTTTCGGGGTTGCTGAAAACTGAAAACCAAAGCCTCAGCCTTTTACTTTTAAAGAAGGGGACTCATCCTAAGCTCTCCCCAGCTCAAAGGTTAAAGGCCTGAGATCTAGGAAATCGATTTTGCAAGTTGTTCCCAACCATCAAATTTAAGATAACTTCTTTACACAAAAGTGCGGGCAAACAGTCACACAAAGGGGGGGGCCCACAAGAGGCCCAGATCCTCTTTAATGCGACTGTTTTGGGGTCCTCTTTAGTGTCCAACTGGTTTCGGGGGTTGCTGAAAAAACGACCCTTGGCAATACTAAAGTAGAATTGGCAATACTTAAGTAAGTACTGGGGATCTGAGAGTCAGCCTTGGCAATACTAAAGTAGAATTGGCAATACTAAAGTAAGTACTGGGGATCTGAGAGTCAGCCTTGGCAATACTAAAGTAGAATTGGCAATACTAAAGTAAGTACCGGGGATCTGAGAGTCAGCCTTGGCAATACTAAAGTAGAATTGGCAATACTAAAGTAAGTACTGTCCCTCCCAGATCCCCCAGGATCTCCCTAAAGAGAGTCCAGCCGACTGGTTCCACTGTTCCAGGGGGGGGGGGGATCACACTAAACAGAGTCCAACATTACATGAATGCGTCGCAAAGTAGGGGCCTAAGTATGTGGCTTTTGGGAATTCCCTTTGCAACCCGAAAGAATAACACCAAAACACGTTCCATCGCTTGCTTCCCACACTTCGCGCAACAACAAACTCATCCCGCCAGATTGACACTGCTCAAGCTCGTCTAAAGCACATTGGACATGTTCACCAGCATTGAAAAGCTGGGCCAGGACGCTCTTCTAAAAATGGCCTGTCCTGAAGACATTGCATCAAACTGACGCTTTCCTCGCAAACTCCTCCTATTCTGTGACCAGGGCCGTTCTGGTTTCGCTTACACGGCTGACATATCATTTTCTGCTATGACGACCCCAAGCAAAGCTGCAGCTCTTATGCAGCTATTGTTGAAAGACTTTGCACTTTCGGCATCTGCGCTTGACACGCCCATGTGGGCACCCACTGCACTCTCGGCAATCCGCAGCTAGTTGGCCATGGGGGCATGGGTGGCATTTCGCGCAGTATCTCTCCAGCTTGCCATGTGGGCAACCATGGCACTGCCGGCAAGCCACAGCTAGTTGGCCGTGGGGGCATGGGTGGCATTGCGCACACCGTTGCTCCAGCTTGCCGTGTGGACACGGGCGGCACAGTCGGCATTTGGTCTTCCTTCTGCCGTGGGGGCAACCATTGCACTTCGCACAGTTTCCCTTGAGCCTGCCGTGCGGACACCCATTGCACTTCGCGCAATGTCCCTTAATCCTGCCGTGTGGACACGGACAGCACAGTCGGCAGCTGGTTTTAACCCTTCCGTGGGGGCACCCGTTGCACTTTGCGCAGAAACGCTCAAGCCTGCCGTGCGGACATCCACTACAGCGCTTGCAGTCCGATTGCACCTTGCCATGCCGACATGTTCGCCGTGTTCTAGAGCCTTCTTCCTGCTGACCGTCTGAAGCCAAGTTACACTCTGGTAGTTTGCGCGTCCTCTCGTTGTCATCCACACACAAGATTGTAGAGCACGTAGATGGGCTTAGTAGTGCTTCAGCTGAGATGGCAGCACACTTTGCCTGCAATCGAAGCCACTGCTTTTGGCTGGCCACTGAGCTCTCACTGACGAGAAGCTCCTGAAATTTCTGCACATGTGCCTGCAAGCGCTGCAACGCAGGTGCCAATGACGAGTCTGTCAAATCCAAGCCGTCCAGGCACGCAAGCACTACTGACCGCAGCCGAACCTGCAAATCTTTGGATGCCAAATCGCTCTGTGAGCTGCATGCAAGAAAACTATCACTATTGCCTTTACGCCGCGGTGGCGACAAGGCAGCCACAGCGCGGCGCAGAATCCTCCGAAGTGTGGCAGGGCCTTCCGACTCTGCAAGTTCCTGCTCCAAGCTGTTGACATACGTCTCTCGGCTGTCGCTGTTCTGCCATCTTTGGATGGCCCTCTGCATCAAACGCACTGCCTTGGCTTCAGCATCCTCGCATTCCGCACGTTTCTCATCAGCAAGTGAACAATCTTCGGGGACCAGCGCGTCCAGCGGCATATGCTTGCTGATCAACTTTTGAAGCTGCATTCCGACTGCCTCAGCACCAGGAACACTGGGGATTTTTTGAGACACTCGTGACAAAATCCGAGCCAATCTGATGTCGACTGGCCCATCAACAGAACCATCCAAAGACTCCAAGTATCGTACAAACAAGGTGACCACAGAAAGGCCGCTGTGATCTTGAGTTATCTCATCTCTGGGCAGCGCGACAAGCCAAGAAGCCACGTGAAAGGCATGCTGCTCAAGTTGCGGCCTGCTCATCTGTGCTCTCTGCAGCTCATAGCGATGCAGAACAGCTGCTGCGCTCTTTTCTCGAAAGCGTGCGGCGTGGAACCGGGCTCTGTCGTCTACGTCAGCCATGCCGAAGGGTTCGGGAAACAGCTGCAGCTGGAGCATAGGCATTGCCACATGCAAGGGCAGAGGCTCCAACAAAAACACCCACACCCACATCAACCTCACGTCACGTCCACGTCACATCACATTGCACACAGCCGTACACGTGACCCATTGTTCCCAGTTGCCCGCAGCTCGGATTTCCTGCTCTCTGCAACACACACACACACAAGTACACACGTACTTGTAAAGGCCCATGAGTGACAAAGTTGCAGCCACAACCAAATGACAAATACCAGATCTCCACACTCTAAAGAACTCGGCAAGGTCTGCACGTCGCTGTCAGGTTATGTCGTGTTGCGATGGTCCAGCAAATGCACCCCGTCAAGCGTTGGAAGCCAATGAAACACGACAAAGGGTCTGATCTTGTTGCAGGGGACCCCCAAAAAAACCGCGTGGTGTTCTTTTGGTCTCCCTTTCGCACCACAAAAAGGGGCACCTAAACGTCATACTGGTTGTGGTCCTCAAAGCAGAATACTCATCATGTGCAGCAACCCCCCCCCCCCCCCCATTTTTAGGAGTTTGCCCAATTGAGCCCGTCGCCTTTCGCTGTTGAATGCCCCTGACCGGTTTGAAGAAAATCCAAACGTCCGTCAAGTGGGTCCCATTCCAAAAGTCGGGCGAAAACGCATTGGCTGTTGTTTCTAGGATGGTTGCAAAGGCTCTAGGCCGTACACATCAAATATTGAACCCCTACTTCAACAAATCGCGAATGTTTTGGTTACAAAGTTGTTAGGAGCCTCGCTGTACTATCATATCCTATCTTCAAATCGTGCGGGTCCTTACGCGAAAAATCGGGGGTCAGGCGCGCCTTGCTTGGGCGGTGCCTGGCTTCGAACAGACGTCTCTTGGATGGGGAGACCTGGATAAGCGGATAAGCCAACAAGCCTGCACCTCACGAAGCCGTAGATAGCCCCCAAGTCCACCAAGTTGCCGATGGGTTTGCCTCCTTTGACCAAAACCTGCGGAAACCGCCCCTCCGATCGTTTAATTTTGAGCCACTCCCATATCTACGAGTCGTGAACGTTGTCTAAGAGTCTAAAAGCAACTGGGAAAATATAACTCGGCGTGAAGAGAAGACACTGGACGATCAGGGTGCCAGTGGCTTCAAGACATTCCATCAGCTCAACATTGCGCGACCCAACGCAAAATTCAACAAGACTAAAAACACATGGATGTTTCTCGGGCAAATGTCGGTTGGTTGGTTTTAAAGGGAAACCAACCATTTTCTGAGGAAACCAAACATTGAGACAAATCCACACGGGCAGCGCATCGCACAGGACTTTCACCCTTCGGCCTCTGACCTGGAGCCCAAGTCGCCCGAATCCTAGAATCCGTACTGTTGACCCCGGATTAACACACCCCTGTTTCTTAATATGGGGGTGTCCCTGGGTTTAGTGGGGATTTCTCACGCTTGGAGGGCAACACCCCCCATATTAACAAACAGCTTATTCATCCGGGGTCAACAATAGCTTTCAAAATAAAGGATGGGTTTTTTCCCGCTTCCTGGCCCACCTTCAGGGAGTTGATTGTCACCCCCCGTGCTTTTTGACTGCGACAGCCATGGGAACATTCAGTTGGAATAGGCAGCATGGCGAAAACGAAACCGCCTCATGATTGAATCCTTCAAGGTTCATGACCATCCCTACGCACCCTGCAAAATCAAGCACCCTTGAACATGTTGTTAGCCGTCAAAAAGTGACTCTTGTTGTTCCTCCTTGAGTATAACCCCTAAGAGAAAATCCCTGTCAATTAGCAGCCAACAAGGTGATGTCTGAAACTATTGACCGGAGGGCCGGAGGCGTGATCATGTGAAGGGGAGACGCAAAGAGACACAAGCTCAAGAACGGGAAAACTGCCTTCATCTTTCAACATCCCACAAGTAGACACAAAGTCAAGAAGCCACGGAAACGGCCACAAAAAATTTTAACATCCACCTGCCACAAGTCCTTTCGAGAACCACCCTGCAGTATTCCCAATTCAAACAAGCCTTTGGAAAGCGCCGGGCCGCAAGATCCGCTTGCAAAAAACCGCCCGTTCACTCGGCTCCGGCCTTCGGAGCGTTGCCAAACCTCGCGCAAACCGATTTTTGCAGGAGCTTCTTCCGGAATTCCTCTGGCTTTCCTCTGGCTTTTTGTGGGTCCTCTGGTTTCCCTCTAGAATCCCACAAAACAGAACACACACGCAATTGGACAGGTCCGAATTTCTCGTCGCCAAAACCCGCGGCTTTTCGCCGGGAGGCGACTTATTCTGCTAGAAACTCGTTGCGGGGTCTGCATTGGAGGGGGGCTGCATTGATGGTGCGCCGATTTCCGCCATACCCAGAAAAATTGAGAGCCGCCCCCTTCTCAAACATAGCCTTTTGGTAGAGCAACAAAGTGACTGCGTGCAAAACTCTTCGACCCCATTTTTTCAGAGACTGTTGGAGTCCGCGAATCCGTGCATGAAAGCGACACTTGCGTTCAGAACGGGCTGGAGAAAATGAGTAAGACAAAGAATCTCCTAAAGGAACTCCACTTACCCCCCAGACCACTATTCTCAGGGAGAACTTCGGTGTATTGGTCTTTTACACTGGTTACCGTACATTATCTTTCTATACACCATTTTCCTTCTTGGGCTAGTGGTTTAGTGGTGGTGTCCTTCTGCAAAAATCATATCACGTGCCAGGACTCTCTGGAATGCTGATCAGCCTCAACTCGAGCAGGTTCACTCCATTTTTTGTTCAACACGCTCTCATTTCTTTGAAGCAATAGGTCATCCCTAAAACAAGGAGTTCCCCTTGGTATCGCAAAGCGTAGGCCCAAACCTTGTCTTTCACACCCCTGCAAAAATGCAGTCTCAAAGACAACGACTCAAATATGGAGAGTCCGGTTTTCGCCCATGGTCCGCAACCAGACAAAATCGATCATGTAAAGCGTAAAACCGAGGGCTCAACCTCCGGACCAGCATTTTGGTTTGCACCTTGGATCTCAGATCTCAGGCGCTGGCATCCAGGTCACCACCGGGGCGCCTGACAAAAAGAGCGCAAGTTGGTTGAAAAAAACGCAGAGACTCTTCTGTGCAGTTGTGTCATGTTGAACGCGCAAAGCCACGAATCTTGGAAACGCTTGGCGGTTGACCTTACAGTCGCAGCGAGGATAGTTGTGGTGCCTCAGAACAGTAACCACGGCGTCCACCGACACATGGAGCTTGGAATCACGGGTGCGAGGAGCCAAAGGAACAACCCTCGGAGGCAGGCTGAAGGGAACAATCGAGGGAAGGAAGAGCAGCACAGGGCTGAACGAAGGAAGCCCTGAGGGAAGACACGGTAACAACACATGCGAACCAAAACCATGCGGAAGGCGAAAACAGCGGGCAACAAGAGAACCGGGCATCGTTTCGCCCCAACGGACCGGGCCGTGGCTCACATCGCAGGAAGATGAACAACCTTTTTTCAAGAGCACCCGGTGCCATTTCGATGTGTGTGTGTGTGTAAGGAAGCGTTTGTGTACCAAGCGCGGCATGTGCTCGAATCGGGTGGTGTGTTTGTTGTTGTCTTTGCTTTTCTTTTTACTCTCTTTTTTGAGGGGGGGGGGGGTGGGGAAGGTGTGGTTTTTGGGGTTCTGACTGACTGGTGACTGGTGGGTGTCCAACAACGAGGACCCCCCCCCCGCCCTTTTCCCCATTTTGAGACCCGAATCTCGCCTCCGGTTCCCGGGCTGGGCCGTGCCGCTGGCGGGAGCTGGCAGACCTGGCCGGGCAAAATGGATGCACTTCCCGGGTGAATGAATGGCATAAAACCCATCTAAGCCAGTGAAAACCATTTATGTCTAATTTCTAAACAAACGAACCGATCAAAAGGACACCGTAATGGCAAGCAAGGCAAGGCAAGGCAAGGCAAGGCAAGCCAAGCCAAGCCAAGCCAAGCCAAGCCAAAGCAAAGGCTGCGCATGGATTTGTCCTGCGAAGTGCGCCATCGATATTTCACCATATGGGAACCTAGTCTAGAGCCCAAAGCCGAGGCCTCTGTGCTTTTTCAACTATCCCAAGTCAAATGTTGCGGGTAAGGCACTGCCTCCAAGCCCCACTATTTCCATCTGCCAGTCGCTAGAAACTCCAACTTGCCGGCGTGAAAGAGATGCATCCCTCATACCGAAACAGCATCCCTCTTGGCATTTGGTGGCCCGCAACAAGCATGATGGTGAGTTCCTCATATACAATAAGACCTTGAGGGTATTGGACCTGCAAGGCTTGCCGCAAAATCTGCTCTGTCCGTACCCTGGTTCGTTTCTTGGGGTTTGGAGTTTAGGAAATTTGGGTCTCTTTGGTGCGGGGCCAACACCCGAATCACATATAGATCATATGGCATATCTTCCAACATTTGGGACCCAAGGTTCGGCATACCGAGCAACTTGGTCGGGCTATCTCACACCTTCAAAGCAACAGCTGGAGTGATTGCCCTCCCACTATGGCAACTGACACGTTTGGTACCAAACCAACAGGTGGAATGGTCAACAATTGAATCTGAGGCCCATTTCTGTGGGTCAATGCCGTCGATTCGCCACCGAAAAAAGCGAATCGAAAAACGCGAGGAAGCCCATGGCCATGTGGGCCCAGTCCATTTCTCCTTGCGAGACAGATGTGTGTCGCCTCTCCATTTGCTTACACCCCATGGGAAAAATATGGTAGTGATCGAAACCAACTGGGGGGAAAAACGAAAGAAGAAACTGAAGCCTGGAAGTCTGTGGGAGATGGACCCCTTTGAACATCCCGGGGTTTGATTTTCCCCTTCGTCCTTGAGAGAGGCTCAACTCGCGCACCTGGGGCACCATCATCCGCATGAAGAGCTGACGATTCAGGCTGCTTTGGACCATATGCCTTGGCGCGGGTGCCAAACGCCGCAAGGGCATCGGTGTGCTTTTTGGAAAATTCAACAAGGCTCCCTATATTTCCCTTTAAAACATCACCCCATGAAGGGATACGCAAAAAGAAATCCTGGGCCAAAAAGGAGATGTTTAAATTATCAAAAAGGGACCTTTGTTCAATGGCCATGATAATGACGAAACAACCAGAACAAACCAGGGCCATCTATTTTCTACACAACCAAACAGGACACCTATGGCCGCAAGCTGCACTTTCCGAAAATCCGCCCTAAACCGCCCTAACCCGCTCTCTTCCAAACAGGTAATCCCAACCCAAGGTAAGGATGAAGATTGCACTTTGAACAGGCCAGCTAAACCAGTCACAGTTGCTGTGAACAACAGCAACTGGCGACTCAGACGGTCTTCGTTCCGGGTTTTTCAAAATAATGCGATCCCAAATCTTCAATCCATCTACAACCTGGCATAAGGACTAGGGAATGATTTTGAACAATCCAGTCTTGGAAGCAGAAACGTCATCCACACATGCAACGGCTCCAAAGTTGCTGCAGCTGTTCTTTGTTTCTTGGTGATGTCAACCTCTGACTGATATCAACCCCTGGTTAAACACGGACGCACCTACCCAATGGAAAGCGAGGTTTCTGAACATATAGCCCACAAGAGCGGGTATTTTGAGTAGCACATACGGAAAACAAGCTTGGTTGATACCTTCAATTAGTTTGCTTAGCTTTGTGGCAAGGGGCCAGCTGTGCACTTCCACGTTTGTTCGTGGGAGAGTACATGTCTCAGCACTTCCATTTCTCACGCTCCAGATTGTATTTCAGGTGGTCGCTATACTTTCGAATCGAAAGCAATCTGTAAAAGCTCTCAGCTGTCCAACTTGTGTGACACGTGCCATGGGTACCCACGTATGTCTGACCAAACATGCCAGGATCTTTTTTTCGGTTTTTTCTTGTTGTTGTTTTTGTTTTGTTTGTTTCCTCTTCTTTTTTTTCGGTGGCCCATCGAAAGCGGCCAGGGGAGGGGGGGACACCCATCTTCCTGACCCATGGCCAGCGACCATTTGCCAACATGGAACCTGGTGTCTGATTTTTTGGAGGGTGCGCTTTGGGCCTTGTTAAGCGGAAAGCCACAAGAAGCCCGAGGCCGATTTTGGGAGCTCACAACTTTAAGACCGATCCAAATGCGCGCCATACTTGGCCGCAGTATATGTCACCATTGAAGCAAAACCAAAATAAAACAACATCGCCAAGAAGAATTGTAGAGAGCATGACCTGCGTTCGAACCCCTTTGGCTATGGAAGCAGGCGTCTACCCATACAGTCCGGTTCGGCCTTCTCCCTCTTGGGCAGCTGCTATAATTATCGTATCTCCTGCGTCTTTGTGGGGAGCGGCGAAAGTCACGTTTTGTGCAATCCCCATAACTCAGCATAGCTGTTTACCACTTTCGCTGGATTTTGAGCCTCTTGCACGGGTTCTTCCGGGACATCTCTGGGCAAATCATCAGCCTTCCCCCGAATAAGTCCCGGGCCAAGGTAGGCCCACCTGCCCAGCCTGCTTTTGGAGCCTCGGACGCTCCGAGTTGATCGAAAAATCCTCCACGTGGGACACCACAAGGGAAACAACAAGTCGCCATCTGGTATAACTGGAACCCAGACCGGCTGCTTATTGCTGCTTTCTTCGACACTTTATCTTGAAACCAGTTGCAGTTGCTGGGGAGAAGAAAGCAGCAACATGCCCTGAAAGGAAGGTAAACATGCCACCCTATACAATGGCTGGCCCAAAGGGTGCCCTTGCAATGAGGTTCCAGGAATGCCAGGCAACATGATGCCGATTTGAAGACGCATCCTCAGAAGCAACCGCTGCGCGAGCTACCTCCACATTGACTTCCGGCGCTCGCAACTCAACGTCCGCGGAGAGCCACTTGTAGCCCTGCGACTTCAGAAATGTCACCGTGCTCAGCTCCCTGCAAACACCCATGTGAGGCTTCTGTTGGGCGACCTCTGTCTGCAAGAGCTTGCACGTGCGCACGCCGCCTGGTCTGAGTGTTTTTAAACCGCTCATGACCCCTATGCAAACCTCGAGGATCGTTGCCTCAGATTCCAAATGTCATTTGACGTGCTCCCGAAAACTCCAAATACATGCTTTTGCTAGCGGGTATTTTCTGGCAAACTAGCTTCTTCGATTTAAATACAGGTGAATACCTCCTTTTAGTCAGGAGTTGACAGGGGCAGGTGAATTTCGGACACACACCAATCTTTCTCAGGATCTTTGAACACGTGCAGAACACTCCCCCCCAAACAGAAAGAAACGGGAAGAAAAACGGAGCCTGACGGTCGGTGCAGATTCATTTGGGAACCCCTGGTCCAGGCCCAAAAAAATCAGGCCCATATATAGATATGCTCACGTCTCCGGGGTGTGAGCAATAGGCGCCCAACGCCTTGCGCGTTGTGTCCCGACCCATGGAAAATCGATTCTGATGGCCCTCTGGAGGGCGCTAGGCGAATCATCTCCCAACCCCAAAGAAACGCAAGCGGTGAATCAATCGGCTCGGGTGGACGTTTTGGTTGGGCGCGGAGGTAGCTGAGTCTTGGCGCTTCGCCCGTTCCAAATTGGGGACAAGTTTGAATCCCAGATGTGTCGTTTGGAGGGTGGCGTTTTGGGGATTGTCGAAAAAGCGAAACCGAACGAAACCCGAAGCCAATCTTGAGGCGACAACCTCAAACAAATCTCACGACAGCTCATTCGTTCACCGCTATCTGTCAACTCAGAAACGAGCAAATCACGCACCAAGAAAACGGGTACTTGGAGATGGCAACAAGGCTTCCTCCGGATGATGGCTTCACCCAACTAGCTGCCCATCTCCATGCGTCCGCGCATCATGAGAAGCCACCGCTCCTGCCGCGCGATACCAAGAGCACGGGGAAGGTTGCCCGCCCCGTACCCACCGAGCAAAATGCGGGCCAACTCGAGGAATCAAAAAAAAAAAGGATCACCTAAATCGTAAAACCCCCCCAAAAAGGAGCTTTTCTTGAATCATACCAAACCCCGAACCCTAAACCCAAAAAAAGTTCCCGTACTGGTCGTTATTTTTAGATTGGGCTTATTGCCGCGGATCACGGTGATTCCCTGTGCCAAGCCGATTACTCGAGGACCCAAATCGAGGACCACGCCGATTAATTGAAGTACAAGGGTATGTACAAGCACAGCGGGGACGAGCTCAACTAAGCTTTCGAAGGACAGAAGCCAACAACAGAGAATCCAAAAAACAAGAAACATACTTCTAGCACGTGTCCGGACTCCTCAGCAAGTGGGTCAATACCAAAGAAGCAAAAAAAAAGGAAGACAATACAGAATTCGAAGATCCACCCTTCTTGTCCTTCCACCTCCAGCTCTTCATCTCAAAGCTGAGTATACTAGCCTGCTTTAGAAGCAGAAGTGGCAGGTGCTGGCAAGCTTAAGAATCCTAGTATCATCGCGTGTTGCTGTCATTCTTCATATCTTGTTGTATACTCTTTGTGCAGTAGACTGGTTTACATCATGGCAAAAACCTTAGGTGTGCGAAACAAGTGCATGGCGACCTCAGGATGCATGCTGCTCTTTGGCCTCTCTTCTCTTTCCTCGCGCTGCTTCGATATGCTGTTGGTTGAAAACCATCCATCCATCTGCCCAAAGGCCAAGTTAACTCAGAAGGGCGGCGGAGGTGCCCATCTCCTAGCTCCGTTCCGGTAATTGTTTAGATGAGTCTAGAGGGTACGCAGCTGTCCAGCCCTTATTAAACAATCCGGTTGTTTGCAGCCCCTACGAAAAATGAGCAGAGCCGAAAACCTAAAAGCCTATTAACATGCCAACAACTGTGAAAGTATGTAGTACATAAACGTATATCCGGGGCGCTGCTTTGACGTGGTGGGGACCCTTTGGTGGATATTGCACATGGAGAATGTTTTTGAGATTCCCTATTGAAAGTCCCTACCATATGACCAGCGCCCAACACCAATTGCCTCTTGGTTCTACCAAGATGAACACACATTCAGGCTTATCATGTAAGCCTAGTAGAACCACCCACTACATAGCCAATGGAGGATTGGGGCGCTGCTACGTATGTGAATATTGACCAGTGCCTTACTTGAGATTGGGCTGTCCTCGTGCTTCAGGTCCTCCTCCTGCGAAAGTAGGCACAGCTCTCCGCTGGAGACCCCGCAAAAATGAACGGCAATTTGTGCCCACAGTTGATCCCTACTCCGAATAGCCAATTGTTGCGGGTGGATGTTGTGCAACCCTGAAAAGAGAGAGGTAGCTTCCTTGTATAGTTACCTGGTTTTCAGGGTTCAAAAGGAAACGATAATCTGTTTTTTGACCATTCCTCCATACAGGTGCTTTCTTCTTAACCCACTGCTAGCGACCGGTCATTTGGAGAGGGTGTACGAGGGAGCCCAGCTAGACAACCTCTCAGCCTTTGAAGCGAAAAAGAAAGAGTCTCTGTTGAAATGGTTTGGATTTGCATTGTGTGGGAACCTGGTGCCTGAAGTTGCCCACCCCAAGCTTGGTGCCTTTTCTACTCGAACCAGGCTTTTAGGAAACAGCTTGGAGTTTGCAAAGCCTCCTCCTGAAGCAGCCCCTGTCGAGGTGCATCCTTTACGCCTCATATCCAGGGGTGGACCGTGGACCCACAGATTTGCCACAACGCCATACCCAGGAAGGGTTGCAACGGATACTTTCGCCTCTCCAGATGTGCAGAACGCATTGCTGGGGCTCCCTGAAAGCTGTTCTCCTCTACCCAGACCTTTCGGGGGACAGCACCACCCTGAAGGGTCGGCGGATTTTGATTGGGGCGGAGCCTGCGGAGCCCCCAGCAACCGCCAGCCAGTCCCGGTCGATGGCAGGGGTCGGTTTCCCCCGAACAGGAAGCATGGCGGGTGCCTCAATTTAAAAAAGAGGCGGGAAACCAACCACCTCCAGCCCCAAAACCCTGGCAAGCCGCAAATTGCCGTGTTTCCGACTTGTTCCCAACTGCGTGCTATAGTGACTGCCCGAAGTAAGGGGAATCTCCATCATGGAGCTGGAGCTAGGTTTTGCCCAGCCCAATCGCCCGTGGACCTGCTAGGGGAGCCAGAGACGTGGGCAACGTGAACTTGGGATTTCTCGGCAGCCCCATACTCCGAGAGGAAACCCTTCCTGACAGTTGCAATCCGTTCAAAGGGGGGAAGCCACTGATAAGCATGATCTTCCGGATCGATTCATTCATTCGAAGACATTGAAGCCTTAATTGATTGGGTACTCCGTCACTTTTTGTTCAACTGTTCGGGGGGAACACCGAAACCATCAAGAGCACCAGGCACATCTGGGAGTACTTGACCTTGTGGCTCAGTTCTTGCTCCTCATGGCCCCGGACATAGACGCTTAGACCACCTGCAAGATCTTCACTGCTCGCCGGCAAGGGGAAATATGTTGAAGGGCAAAAGCTGCTTCAAGGTAACCTCCCATCCACCATGGAACCTCACCAGGTCTATGTTCGACCATTTTTCTTACGGGACCCTTTGGGGTAAGGCTTTGGTCTGGAGTAAACCAAGCTCAGTTGCCCAGCTTGTACCCGGAAATACAAGGCGATCGGCGATCGCCTTTTGGTGCCATTCCCAAACATGGACCAAAAAGGGATTTGTATAAACCAAAAGGTCCTGGGCGAGTGAGCAAACCAACACCCCTGAGGTCCTCCTGGCATGAGGGTGGGTGTGCCGGCGGGGGCGGTGCAGATGGCACCGGCGAGGAGATCTGGCGGCTGAGCCTTGGCTCGACCGCACCAGAGGTGAGCGGTGGGCCTCAACTTTGGCCAACAAAAAAGGTGAGTTTAACTTAGGGAGTTCAAATATACGACCTTCCGGCCTTCCAGAGGGGACATCAAGAAGGACCTCCCCCTTTTCATGTCCTTGAAGTAGCGTTTGACTCATGGGGCCGAAAACAAACAGTCCCGACCTGTCTGGAAGAAGGGCCGGGAATCTCCAAAGACACGCCTTTTTGGTGCAGTTGCTCGAAACCGGGATTTGCCCAAAGGTCAATATACCCGAAGCAAAGTTGGTAATTTGGACTCCCCCGATGCCCCTTTTTCCCTGAAGCAGGAAAGTCATTTGCCGAGGGTGCCCGCTACACATGATCATATATGCCATGGTCAAAACTCCGTTTGTTTAGCCTATGGTCTTGGTTCCCTCAATAGAATCCTTACACAATATAATGGTTATTAAGGATCCTCACTTTACTACCAAGTGAATGACCATATCCTTGTTGACCCCATGCAAAGGAACCGGTCTTTTACACAAACTATCATCATTCTCAGACCGTGCAAAGGGTGGCAACTGGCGCTTGCATTCTTGTGACAAACCTAGGCGATCCTGAAAGACTTGCTTTGCGCTGATTCGTACCCATCTCCCCAAAGGGGTATATACCGATCATGAAGTGGAAAAAACAACTTTGATGATCTTTCAGGAAATTGAAGGAAGGCGACCAGCATAGGTGTCCTCTTGGAAAACCAGATGGCACCGGTAAATGATGAGAACCACACTGATGAAAACAGATTTTTTGAAGATCCGATTCTTTCAAGAATTGCCTGGTTCCTTTGGCCAAAGGAACCAGAAACCCCAAAACCCCAAGTGCCACAGTGCACCCTGTATGGAACAAAAACCATCTGGCTTGACAGGTGATGTTTGAAGCTACCCTGGTCGCCGTCAGCTTGGGTGTTTCGCCCCTTCCCTTCTCGTGAGAGGCAAAACGATAGGTTTGGACATGATCATCAGCTGTGGCCGCGGCCTTTTTTACTGTTCTCTTCAACTTGATGTACAAAGGGGTTCAAGCCCATCCGGATGGTGCTTTTGTCCCGTGCATGTGTGTGTGTGGAGAAGTTGGGCATACTCCCTCAAATGTTGAAGGGGGTCAATGATGTACATTTCCAAAAGCAGTAGTTTGACAAGGACAACCCGGACAATGAGGGAAAAGGACCGGCGTCGTCTTCAAGAGACGGAACGTACACCACGCTTGTCTGTACCCTAAGAGTCCTCAGGGGTCGCCAGTGCTCAAGACGGTCCTTCTCTTGCAGGTCAACTCAGATCCTTACAGCTCTACCCCTTGTCCGCTCTTTCAGGGGCTGATCCGCTTCAGAACGTTGCCCAAAAAAATGGGCGGCAATTCCCACTGCAAAAGACCGAAAAATCCGCAACTTGCTGTCGAAACATCCCAAACTGGAGCCTCTAAATGACACGTTGCTATGTCAATAAAAGCATCACCCAACTCGGATGATAGTTGGGCCATCGCTCGATGCTAAAACTCCCCAAAAGGGAAATCTAGTTGTACCCCTGCTTGGTTGACTCTCTTCTTCACTCATTTGGGGGGGGGGTAGTGGTGTTGTCACAGAAGTGGTTGAAAAGTCGATCTGATCTCAGTTTCCCTCTAACTTGTGGTTTGGATTGGTTACTACGGGTAATCCCCAAACCACCAACTAAGTGTTACCTCATTCCCGCCGGAGCCTCATACTCTCCTTTCTTGACCAGTTGCTGGGTCGCCACATCGTGGTTGGCGAGCCTGCACCTCGGTTTGTGGCTTGGTTGGTTCGGCCCGGAAAAGCGTTACCTTGGCCAAAACCCTACACGGAAGTGTTCAAAAGCTCGTTCCCGGCTTTAGGTTAGCTCTCCCAAAGCTGAAAAGGTATGTGGGGAAGGGGCGTCCCACCATAGAACGGACCCTCCTTGGGATGGTTTGGAGCGCAAGGGAGCCCACCAAGTACACGAAACAAGCACACGAAACAAGCAAGCAAGCAAGCAAGCAAGCAAGCAAGCAAGCAAGCAAGCAAGCAAGCAAGCAAGCAAGCAGGCAGGCAGGCAGGCAGGCAGGCAAGCAAGCAAGCAAGCAAGCAAGCAAGCAAGCAAGCAAGCAAGCATCCAAGCAAGCAAGCAAGCAAGCAAGCAAGCAAGCAAGCAAGCAAGCAAGCAGGCAGGCAGGCAGGCAAGCAAGCAAGCAAGCAAGCAAGCAAGCAAGCAAGCAAGCGAACAAACAAAGGCAAACAGCAACAACACACACAAAAAAACAAAAAACAAAACACATCACATCAAACCAAAACAAACCAAGGAACAAACCAAACAAAAACCAAACCAAACAATTGCCAAACAAGCAAACAACCGCCCCGCCCCAAAGAAGAAAAAAGGGGATCGGGCACCCGGAGGCACAAGCACACAACCCTCTTGGTGCAGGTGAGCACCGACCCTTGCGAGCGCGAGCTGCCAGAGAGACGTCACGGACTAACTTCGAACACCCCCTTCTCAGGAACCCCCGTTCCCCAAGCAAGGCCTTAGTAAAGGTTGGTTTCCCCGTGTGGGCGCGTCTGGCCCAATTATGTCACGCCCCCGTTTGACTATGTGTGTTCAATGGGAAGACGCTCCAAAATGGTCGATGGACAAGCAACATGTAAACGATTTCCACGCAAGGGTTTCCCAACTGAAGCTCATTGTCATTTCCTGTGTACCATCAGGATCTTAACTCAGTTGCTTTCTGCTCCCCTGCTAAAAATTTAACTTTCAGTGGTTTAGTGGAAAACCCATTAGTGGGCAAAAGTTAAAGTCCTAACAGCCAAGCAAAATGCGCCAAAGTTAAAGGCAGCTTGCTATTCACAAAGGGGGCCTTCGTCATGGGCGTGTTTCCCCAGGCGAGCTCACCTGTCATTTGCGACCAGGTGCTTCATTGAGGGGGCTGGCATTCTCCACGCGGGGTTGGTGGCTGAATGGAAAGGGAAACCAGGGGAATCCAAAATTGCAGCTTGGGTGTCAAGGGAAACCTAAAGTTCAAAAAGGCTTCGAAACCTGTGTCCCATGTTCTTCGGGGCCTCTAGATCCAACACACACACGAAATACAAAAATTGGGGGGCCCAAGGGAATAGATAGACCTGACAGCCCGACAACCATTCTCGGGCAAGGCGAGGCAGATGCAACTTGGACTCTGTTCATGCTTAATCCTGGCTAGCTTCAAAAAATGGTTGCGCAAACCACATAGCCGGTGCTCCACATACCCGCTTCCTATTCTCCAGGACAACAGGCGACCTCAACAAGCAGGTGTTTGAAGGATTCTCAACAAATTAACCCAAGCTCAAAAAGTTGCAAACTAATAACAAGAGAAGAAGAAGAAGAAGAAGAAAAAGAAGAGGGAGACGAAGAAGGAATGACCATCAAGTGAAGAAGATATACAATGTATTATGATGAAACCGCGTGATCAATAAATGTGCTGCCCACAGATATAGCAGCATTGGATAAAAGAAGTGTGTGTGTGTGTGTATGTATGTATATTCGCAAAAGTTAGTTGACAAGGATCTGGAAGAAAGAAAGCTTCTCCTGGTCACACCACTAAAGTTGGAGAAGATAATACATGAAACGATGTCCAAAAGAAGGAAGTCCAACAGAGGAGCACGATTATCAATAAGAGTTCATATTTCTTGGTTCATTCACTGTAGCTGCTACTCAAGTCACAAACAAGTCTGGCTGTACCTCCACTTTGCCCGAACCCTGTGAGTGATTGAAAGGAAGGGTGCTCGATGGGCCGCCCATGGGGGAGCAACATTAAATCCCTGGATGTTGACCCGACGTCACAGTTCAAGGGCCCTTGCAAAGGTGTAGGCGACTTTCCTTTTCAAGCCACCTTCTTGTCCACTTCCATGATTGCTGGAAAGAGAGTATTGCAAGTGCATGCCAGGGTTGCCATTAGCTCAAGGTTGTCCCGCCGCTTGAGCATCGGGGGCCACATTGATTGAGGCTAGGGTCTACCAAGGTGATCAAGATGGAAAAAAGCCTCAATATCTCAAGTGTTTCAAGTCAGTTCTATATATGACTGTATTCCCCCTGAAGAAAGTCACACAAAACACCGCCACCGAAACGAAGACCGGGGGAGAAAACAGCACTTGACATCGTCATTCCCCCCGTTCGCCGTCTTTCTGCTCCTGTGCTTGCACCTGTCTTGGAAGGTTAACATGCCTTTGTGCGGAGATTGTTCCAGTGGAAAGCTTGTTTTGCACATGGGCTCTGAGTTCTGCAACCACCCCTTGATAAGGCACCCATGGCCTCGTAAGAAAGTCGGATAGTTGTTTGCGATATCACAAGGTGTTACCAAAGGCTCAAAGTGCGCTCCACATGCTCTGGCCACAGGGGCACGGACCTTATGGCAAACTCAAAGTGGGCTTTTGGTGTAGGAAATCTGGGGCCCTAGCCCTTCAGTCAGTTGCCTGTCTCTCATTTCACGAGATCGCCAGCTTCATCCGGGAGTCTTTCCAACCCTTGGTAGCACCAAACGGTGTTTTTGTTGCAGCCCCTACCAAAACATGAACCAAACCAACAAAACCAAAAAGCAAGCAAAAAACAAAAACATGCCAACGACGGTGCAGGAGTGAAACCACTGGCCATGCCTCGGGTTTAGCCCCCCGCGTCCCGGTTTTGCGCTGGGCCCGACACAGGAATTGCTTCAGAGCCATGTGGCCGAATCTGCGCAGAATTCGGCGCTTTGCTGTGCGACGTTTTCGTCGAGGGGGGGGGCCGGGGGGCCTTCAAAGGCCGTGGTCTTTTTTTTGGGTCTTAGACTAGGCTCAACGGCTTAACATGCCAAGATTGAACATCCGTCGTTGACTCAAACCGGGTACCCAAACCACGTTGCACCCCACCGGTTGGCTAGATGCGGATTCGTCTCATGTCTCATGTTGTTTCCAGTTGAACCATGATCTTCTCCCAAGCCCCACAAAATGGTGGGAGAGTTGATTGAAACCCTGGGGTTCAAAAAGAAAGCCTCTAGTGCCGGTTTCAAGGTAAAGACAATACATACTGAATCTATAAACACACCTGATGTTCGACTGTGGTGTGTGTGTGTGTGAGGGTGCAGGGTACAGAAAACCAAATATAGGACCTACTACTTTACTAGGGAACCCAAGAACCCTCCCAACACTCAACCTCCTCATGTCTATTGTCATTCAGCTTCGTGACCAGACGTGACCAGGGATCCCCTGATTGGACTGAACTGTTCGGCACGTGTCCTTCATCTGACTTGCATTGATTGCCACGTCAGAACTCCTCAAGTGTGGCAGTGCCTCCCTTTGTGGACGGCCTTACCATAGTTTTTTTAAGTCCCCTAAAACTGTCTGCTGGTACCTTTTGATCATTCCCGAGCCGCCCCTGTTTTTCAGGCCCAACTTAAGGTCTTCAACGTGACATGAGGCGTTCCGCTGAAACCGTTCCGGGCTCCCCTGTTTAGGTTGAAGGGGTCCCGTTTGAGCAGTCAATACGGAGCTGGGTCCCAAGAATATTGGATGGTGAGCAACCCCCAATGACTTGGTAATACATAATGTCATCCCCTGAATTGGGACAAACACTGAAGATTGACCATGGCAATGTATCATTGTGGGTGCTCGTCTTTTTCTAAGCATTTGGACCCTCCAAATGGCTGGTAGTTCCTTTTGGTTTTCCTGTCAACCCACCAAAACAAGGGGTACCTCAAACAAAAAAAGAGCCACCCATCTCACAATCACCCCGGTTTGGTCAGGAGAACCAGAGGAAGAGATTGGAATGCTACAAGCCCCTTGCGGGGACTGGGGTCCACTGCTTCCGTATTTGTCTTCGCAACCCACCGTGTCCCGTCTCTTGTTTTGTTTAAAGGGAAACAAGACAAACCATCCTAAATGGAATCCAAGGATCGCACCCCTCCCTCAAGGGGGGACCCCAACCATGACCCCGCCCTTGAGCCCCTTGAGCGCCTGAACAACAGACCTCCGGCCGGCTCTTTGATAGCGGACAGAATGCCGCACCTCAGATTCCAAAGAAAACTCAGCTGCCCTCAGATCCCCCGCAAGTTTAACTTTTAGTGGGTTAAATGGAAACTACCACTAAATACTAATGTTAGATAGCGATTAGTGTAAGGGGAGTGAATACAGAACAAAAGTCTCAAAATGATTCACTCTCCTGAAAAGCAAAAAGGGTAGGTATTACAGATTTAAAAAAATCGGCCCGAGATCCCGAAAATATGTTCCCTTCCAAGAATGGACTATTTTTGAGGGTTGAAACGTTTGAGTCCAACGCCACGCTCCTCCCAGTCCCAGCAGCTCCCCACGCTCCAAAGTCACCGCACCACACCGCACCACACCCCGCTACTTACCCAGGAAGGCAATAATGCAGTTTGTTTAAGGGTAGGGAATGGTGAACAAAAAATTGGCCAGGGCAGCCTGCCAAGAAGAAAGCCCCGCTGTTCTCAGGTACAGCCAGAAATGTCCAGAATCTCTGGATTGCTTCCTGTCCCAAACCACCAAATTCCTTCAATTTCTTTAGTAGAAGATGCACCCTGACAAATGTTCAAGGGGGTGGCACACGGAACCCCCATGAAGGCAATAATGCAGCTTGTTTAAGGGTAGGGAATTGTTAAAAAACACAGGAGATGGGATATCAAAGGAATACTGAACCAATACTAAACCAATTCTAAACTGTAGTGAGTCAACTGAAAAAAATACTGAACCAATACTAAATGAGTCAACTTAAAAGAATACTGAACTAACACTAAACCAATTCTAAACCGTAGTGAGCCAGCTCAAATGGGTTGTGTATGGGTTGTGTATGGGTTGTGTATGGGTTGTGTATGGGTTGTGTATGGGTTGTGTATGGGTTGTGTATGGGCTGTGTATGGGTTGTGTACGGCTTGTTTAAAGTAAAACAGGTCTTGTTGGAAAACCGTGTTTTTGGCAAGCAACAAGTTCATAGCCAGGGTTCTTTTTGGCACCCTGTGGTCTCAACGGTTCTGGGGATATTTCCCAAGGTGGATAGCTGTGAACGCAACAAAAACAACAGCATATAACCCCACCACTCGCAAGGGCCAATCTTGGCACACGCCCATTTCTCGAGGGGGTCTTCCTCCAGAAAACCAGCTGGGACGCACCGACTGTTTGCTCCTTTCTCGTCAAACGAAACGGAAGGTTCTGGCATTCTTCCAAACCCCCACTCTCTCTCAGGAAACCTCAATTTGTCGTTTGGTTTGTTGGGGCCGATTTACCTTCAAAAGATGAAACACCCCCAAAATCATACAAGGAACCCCAGCATTCTGTTCGGTTCTCCGCAGGTCTAAGCCCGACTCACCTGCCATATCTGAGAAGTTCTCATTTTGTCATGGACAAAAAAAGACAAAAATCTGACATCTATCCCAAAAGACTGGGCAAACAGTCATTCAAAGGTGGTGTTCACATCAAGTCGAAGCTTTCTTACGAATCACCCCTCATCTTCACTGAAACAGCCCCAATTCCGCAAACTTGTTCTGTTTCGCAAGTGGCTCGATCCCAAGGAATGAGGAGTACCCCCCTTGCAAATTGAGAATGGAACCCCAGAAAGGGGTCTCTCAAAAGGAGGTTCCTCTACAAGAACAAGTCCTCTGTTTGAGGTTGGAAGCCCATGTTTGGTAGGTTGCCCCAGCACAGAAATCTGGAGGCTGGACTCCAAGAAACTGGGTTTGAGGAACTGTTGCTGGCTCTTGTAGCCTTGAGGGGACCCCCCGAAACGGTGTCCGTTAAAAAATGTTCAACCAACAAGAGGTAATTGCCACCCAAAACGGACGAGCCACCCACATTTCTTTCTACAGTCAATCAGGCGGCAAGATTGGTTCAGCCGAACATGTTGAACCTCTTCTCTGGCTTCAAACTGCTCCGGGCGAGGCGGTTGTTCAGCAACCCTTCATGCCGCTATCTGCTGCAAAACCCACCACCACCAGGCCCCCTCTGAAACCCAGGCTCCCCGCAGGGCAAACTGCAAAGGCCCGCCATCCGGGATGAGGTCCCAGCCTTCCAATCAGCGATGGCAGTCCGAATCTGTCGAATGCTGTGGCTGAAGAAGTGGGGTCTGCGTGGTGTTGTGTCCGTTTCTTGGCAAACATGCGCCTTTTGGCTTTTTTTGGGGAGGAGATTAAGACTCACTGGTTTTTTGGCGCCCGGAGCGTAATTTGCGGACAAACAGGCAAGAACCTGTCTACAGTTTACCAAGAAACGTGAGTTGAAACTCGAAAAGGACTAGCCTAAAAGCAGTCAAAAGTTGTTTCATCTAGAAGTAGCGAACATTTGTTCGAACGTCAAGGTGGACCATCCAACATCGGATGTGAGTTGGCTGAACATCAAGCTGGGCCACCTTAAAGTTGTTGAAAGCCCTCGGGAAAGGGTCCCTTTCATTCCCCAACACGGGCTTCAAAAAACAGAACCCTGGGACTATACACTCCATGTGTGGAATATACCGGCAAACGCATCCGCCAAACGAAACTACAACCAGTACATCTTGCCTCAGGCACGAGTTTTCACGTAGAAATGGACCCTTTGGTAGATGTATCCTGGTTGTCCACCGCCGCCCACGGAAAAAAGGAGTGGTTGTTTCTCGTGCCACTCGGGTTCGTGGAAGTTGCTTAAAGTAGGTAGGGATCCTGAAGGTTGCTGGCAACTCTGAAGCTGGGGCTCGTTTGGGTGTCCCGATCAAAGAGAGGTACCTTCCCACATGTGGACATGCCCCAAATGCAAGTCCTCTGTTTCCAATTCCAGAACGTGCATTTCCATTTGCTTTATCCTGGAAAACATTTAAAACCAAAAACAAAGAAGTCCAGCAGGGATGGCTACCCATCAAAACCAACAGGCGAAAATACAACATATTGAAACCTGGGCTGTCCTCAGATCCCCTGCTCAAGGTTTAACTTTCAGTGGGCTAAATGGACACACCTTCACTAAACCAACTAGAAACAGCTAAACCCCCAACGAATCAAATGGCCGGGAACCAAGTTAAGCCCACGAGATCTGGGCCGCGAGCGGATGAGCTGGCCCAGGAATTCGCCAGTCAGCATCAGCCTCAGCTGCAGATTTCCGGCGCCCGTGTATGCCTTTGCGGCAAAACAATTGGATGGGGTTCCCTGGCAATTGGATGGCATGAAACCCATCTAAACCGGTGGAACCCATCTATTTATTAGCATGTGATTGAAAGTATCCATAATACCACAGATAGAAGCCTTGCCCGAATGGCGAAACCATGAAGCGCGGGATCGAGCCACACAAGTTGCAGACACATGTTTTGCCGTATCAGCTTCTCTCGTTCATTCGCCGGTCGTCCCGATCCACCAATTTGTTCGAGTAGATCGCCAATTCGAGAGAAGCCCCTTGCCCAGTGACCCAAAGGTGGGTCCTTGACCAAACTCACAACCGGGTTCAGCCCTGCATTTCAACCCCCACTAAAAGAATGGCCGGCCCAATTCGGATGATGAAAACCTGTGGGGCTTCTAATGGGTGCTTCTATATTCACCTCCATTTGTTTCAACTGGTTTGACTCATCCCCAGATCCGCCCAGGGCGCCAAAAATCCGCCGCACCGCCGCCAGTGGTCTTCGCCCCCCGCGTCTCCACCAGGTCTTCCCGTCTGGGCCCCGGGCTCCTTCTCCGGCCACGCGGGGAAGGACTGGAAGTCGTCCAGCAGGATGGAGATCAGCAGCTGGTGGATGCGGCACCTCGCGGGTTTTGCACCAGAAAAAACGGGCGGAAACACGGCTGAGTCGCAATCAAAACCTGGTACTAAAATGGACGTAATCCCAGAACCCTGCACAGGAATTTATGGTTGGGATCGTCCCTCACTAACCTTCATCTACCCGGGTTCTGATTGTGGCTCAGCTGACCAAGGCCCAAGGTTCCTTGGCGGAACAGGGACATCCCCCAAAAAATCCTGGAAGTGTGTTTCTTTTGCACAGTGGTTGGAGCCATACCTTTGGAAATTGGGCAAAGCACAACCTGGCTCCGAAGAAAAATGATGGGTGAGACAACTCCGTTGTGTTTCTCAATGTGAGCCAGGAAGGTGGAAAGTCCTTGCCAGGACCTCTTGATCGCCCATATGTCGAAACCCCGTACGGAATCAAACAGCACTTCACGAGGGGCCTGAAACAGGGTGCCCTTTGACTGGGTTCCGACGTTTTGAAGCCAAAACAAACACGAACTCAATCTAACTCCCTCATAGGGTCCGCCAAAAAGGGCTTGCATTCAGTGGCTCTGTTCAATTGAATCGGCTTCAAGGTACTTGCGAGGCTCAATCTGGAAGGTTTTGGCCAAAACCCTACCCTTGCTGACCTGAAAACTTCCCAGGCACGTGAAAAGGGGCCTTGGGAGCTTCCATGGAATCGAAAGTTCAAGATTTGCGGTGCCCCTCCACAACCGAAAAAAAGGGTCTCTTCTTTCAACAGCCTTGCTCCCCTGAGTCTTGGGGCAATCGGACTTGCGGGTCCGGTTGCTTCATACACCAACTTGTTCTGGCTGTCCAGAACCGAACCTCCTAATAATGAATCCTCCCCCCCACCCCCCCTAAAAAATAAAAATAAATACACCAGCATAGACCCCAGATAGCACACCACGGCTACGAACCATGACGCAGCATCATAACAATTCCCGCGGCATGATGATGATGATGTTGACAGCATCTTGATGATGTTGACTCAATGTTGACAGCATCATGAAAAACTACCACTGCTGCTCAGCATAGTGCGCTACATAGACGCGCAGACAACGTCCTAGTGAGTTCATCAGCAAAACGATGATGTTGACAGGATGATGCTGAGACACCAGTCACGAACGATTCCGCGCTACATACCTAGCAGAAAAAAGGCAGAGACGACGTCTGATAAGTTCGACAGCATCATGATGATGCTCACTGCATCATGGTGGTGGCAAAGGCAGCATCCTGATGATACCACGGCCAGGAATCATTTTGCGACAGTGTAATGAAATTCAGCATCATCTTAATGTTGACAGCATTTATGCCAACCACCACACCCACGAACGATAACGCGGCATCGCAGCAATTGCAGAAGCATCGTGACGTGGTTGACAACATCATGATGATACACCAGCCCCGAACCATTACACGCGACAGCTAGGGCAGCAACAACGTCCGAATCGGTTCAACAGCATCATTATGCTGTCCGGACAGCATCATGATGCTGCGGCCAGCATCATGATGATGCGACAACCACGACACCCCAAACAGCACCCGCCCTAGCACCCTGCCATCCATATGCGCCCGCACCATCGCCAACACCCGACAACAGCAGCCCCAATAGCACCCCAACGCAGCACCCGCGCCAGCACCGGACACGTACTCACCAGCACCTGAACTCAACAGCACCCAAAACCGCACCTGCGCCAGTACCCCAAAGTGCATGCCCCCTAACTCCCAGCCGTCGACTTGCAAAACAATTTCCCTTCTTCATTAGAAGTTTGAAACCCTATGGTTTCCAGTTGTCTGGGAAATAAGCCCACGCGGTCAGCAGCAACAGCAACACAAAACAGCACCTGCAGCACCACCCCAAACTGCATGCCCCCAAGCACCGCCGGCAATCTCCAAAAATTGCGCCCGCAACGTCAGCAGCACCTCAAACAACACCCCAAATTAAACAGTTCCCAAAAACAGCTGCATCAGCTCCCAAACCGTAGGCGGCCATCAATCTTGCAAGAATGCGCCTGCACCATCACCAGCACCAAACCCCCCCGCTGTCCAACAGCACAGCACCTTAATCAGCGCAAACGGCATGCCCCCCAGCACCCGGCCGTCAGTTTCGCAAAGCGGCGCCCGAAACTGCATGCCCCCTAGTACCCGGCCGTCAATCTCGCAAAGCGGCGCCTCCACCAGCACCCGAAACTGCATGCCCTCTAGCACCCGGCTGTCAATCTCGCAAAGCGGCACCTCCACCAGCACCCCAAACTGCATGCCCCGCAGCACCCGGCCCTCAATCTCGCAAATCACTTCCCCTTCTTTACTAGAAGTTAGAACCCCTATAGCTTTCAGCTATCTGGGGAAAAACATGTATATGTTATATAGGGCGGAACAATATTCATTGGTGGGTACGTTAAGGTAGCAGGGGGGTTCCTCGTCTGGGGTCCCCTGTTTCCGGGCGTTCAATATGGCAACGTCCGAGTTGTAAACTTAAACAGAGAAACCGATGTCATGTTTGCGAAGTTGTTTTGGGTCGGAATCGGCCTAACATTGGCTTAGTATCAGTTTAGGATTGGTGCGGTAGTGGTTTAGCACTGGTTCCAGTGTGTTCCCTAATACGGCTGAAGTGCGTCCTTACGGGAAGCTTGTTGGTTTACAGTTGGTTGAGTCTTGGCTATTCGCAAATTCCATTTTTGTGTTGGGAGATGAAGGGTCTGGCGGAATGATGTTTTTTTTTTTGAGGCATGAGTCAGCCTGCCGATTCCACTCAGCGCTAAGAGCCACGCTGGTTCTTGTCCTTGGACCACTGGAAGTGGCGCATCAGGGAAATCAACTCCTGCGCTCGAAATCCAAATCGGCAGATGCAATCCCTAGGAAACTCGAATCTAAACGGATTTCTGCAAAATGACCAAAGGGACATATACTTCTGCATAGTCCTCGACATTTCAGGCAGCACCAAAAGAAAAAAACAAAGATTCTTCGACATTTGAGTTGCACCGGACAAAAAGAAAATACGAAAACATCTAGCGGGTAGATGAGCAAAGACCTTTTCTTCGCCTCCCAAAACTCATCGGCTCCTGGATGCCCAGCTTCTCGGAGTAGAGGTTCCGCAGCAGTCGCTCGGCGATCTCCTCCACCTTGAGGTTCTTTTCGATTCGACGAGGTTTCCACGGCTCGGCCCCGCTTTTCCGTTGCGAAAGCTGTGGGGTCGATAGGCCCAAATAGGCGATAACGGGTGGTTTGGGCCAGCCTTACCACTTGGGTTTCTTTCTGTTGGTGCTTTAAAGGTGTGTTTCTGTTGGGTGGACAAAAGCAACGACCGGGAGTCGTGGTGTTTTAAAGGCTGGCCTTGTGTTTGCTGCTGAATGTATACTTTCCATTGTAGTTTGTCTTGTGCGCTTGTTGTTTAGCATGGGTTTCGATTTTTCTTCTGGCCTGGGGGTCTTCTTTGTATCTCCGTTGCTTCTTGCTTGCTCATGCTGGTATTTGTTTTGGTGGGGGTCCAGGTGATTATGGACAAGACTGTAGCCCAGTGAAAGCGGGGCTTGGTCGGCACAGTGGGGAACTTGTCAAACAAAGATTTAAGAAGCAAGCGACGGGAAAAACACGCACCGTTGCTTTTGGTAGGTGCTTGGTCCAGCAGAATTGCCTGAGCTACCAGCTGGATATGAACAAATCAACCGCCATAGCATTACTTCTATGGCCAGCAAAGGTGAACTCTTTGTGGAACTGGTGTCAGCAGGGAAACCCTCAGGAGATGGCCTTCAAAAAAACCTCGGCGGCCGTGGCACACGAGCCTGTACCTTGGGCTACTCATTCCCTGCGACCCTTTTACAACCCCCAGAATCGGTTTGTGGACCTTCAGTTTACCTTATGGTTGCCCCAACAAACCGGTGGGTCAATTTATCAGGATAGGAGATTGGTTGAAAACTCGGTGAAGCATGCGTTGCACCCAACCTATGGCTGCCTCAATCCGAATGCGGGAACCCCTTTGTAAAACCCGAGGCGGAATTAAGGAGTAACGCCCCCCACACCCACACACACACACACTCACACACACACACACACACACACACACACGTCACGGGAGATACCATAACTTTCTCCATGAATTACGCTGGAAGGGACCCAGAAATGGAGATATGATTGACTTGGATGACTTACGGGCTCCAAATGAAAACCCTCTTTGTGAGAACCCACTCACCGGGTGAGTCATCCAGGGTTTAACCATTTGATGAAGTCCGTGTCCTTTCGGTTTCCCTGCAAACACGTCCACAAAGGTCCGGGATGAAACCAAATCCAAATCCCAACACCATTTGCTCTTCCCTGTGGTTCTTTGTTTTCCGTGTCTGTAGTTTCCAAGTGGTTTCTCATTGGCGTCCACAAGGTCCTATTGTCCTTTTTGGAGGACTTGGCCCCCAGGGAGTTCTTCAAGGCTCCCTTCGTGGAGCTTCCACTGGTGTCTTTCCATTTCCGTTGCTCCCATTGGTGAAACAGGCAACAGCTTCGCAGGCAGCTTCGCTCGACAAGCAGCCAGGCTCCCTGACCCCCAAAATGGCCGTGTTTTAAGGTTGGACCCCCCGCCCAAACTGGTTTGCTTGTTGGCTTCCCTTTCAACCAACCCCGAAAAGAGTACCCCAAAAAAATGACAGACCCTTTTTTAGCTCCCTGACGACCAGAGCAGGGAGCCCAATGAAATCCCGGCTCAACCCCGCATGTTACGATTCGGCCCCCCTTCCTATTCGGTGCCTCATCATTTGTTTACCATTTTGCCACCTAAGCAAAAAGGTCATGTCACAACATTTCTGCGGACTGCTGTAGGAAACAACCTGGTTCCTTACATGCGCCATGGACAAAACTAATTATTCCCTTCAAAGCGCATGGGAAGAAAAAATTGGAAGGCATGCGCTTTGGCCGTTTTGCTCGGCCAAAGTAGACCTACTCTGTCAGTCGCTATGGGTACGATCCGACCTCTGGCGCAACAAAGCAAGTTGGTTTAGCTCGGGAAACTGAAAAGGAAACTGCAGACACCTATCCATTCTTCCAGCCTTTGTTCCGAATCATCCAAAGGCAGATATGGCCATGGGTCAAAATCCCGTACCCCCAGTGAACATCCCGATCCCCACTAAAATAGGTTCTATAATGGGTGGTGAATTCACCTACCAACCAAAACGGGATCCCATTGCTTCTGACCCAATATCAAAACAGGCGGCCTGCAAGTCCAGGTCATCGCAGCTCTCAACCTGCCGGAGGGGTGGGGATCGAGTCGAAAACTGGAGGATGGCTTCCGTCTGCATGGCTGTGGTTGTCAAAAAGAAAAAGTACCCCAAATGGCTTGCCCTGGTAAATGGAAAGGACTCAAACCTGCGGTGCCCTGGTGGTTTAATTTTGAGCCACACCCACATGGGTTTAAGCCTTCAAATGCGGGAGCCACACAATAAATGCTGCTTGCCACATGAAGCTCACAAGGGACGCTTAGATTCAGAACTTCATCACCAAGAGGGCTGGTGTCCTGAAAGGAGACGCAATGCCAAGGGGTGTTGGGGGAGTTCTCCTGAAAACCCTCCTACTCAGCAGGGGTCTGATATTTCTGGATTCCGGGCCTTCAAGATATCGGCTTTTCTAGCCTCCGGACGCCAAAAGACACTTTCACAGAGGGAGGGGCTCCTGAAAGTGGGGGAATACTCAACCAAAACCACAATAGAGGTTCTCCTAAACCAACCCCAGGGCCTTAGAAAGACCGCGATGTCTGAGCAAACTGGCCTTGCTCAGACTGGGCGGCTCATTTCTACAGGTCACATACTTCCCGACCTACTTGGCGCACTGTGTGCCATCCATGCTCCTCTCATGTGCTTGGTCTGCAAATCCGCAAATCGAGGCGGGCCCCAAACCTTGACAACGGCACTGCTGGAGTCACACCAGATGTTTTGCAGCAGGACAGGAAGCCCCGGAGAAAAAAACCGGAGATGCCTCTAGGTGCATATGTCGCCCTTTCTTCAACAAAAGCTGACAGCTGACTTTGAAACCCTGGTAGTCTTCCACAAACTCCCCCTCCCGATCACCCACTTCCAATTGTAGGAACGCTAGGAGGGTATGAGCCTCGACCTTTGGCAAAGGGTGAAACATGTTGACAGCCACACCACCCTTGTGGCCAATTTGTGTGTGTGTGTGTTTCTCTCTGTGGTTTGGACCCATTAAGCATTTCTGAAGAGGAACCAAGTCCTCATCACTTTCCCCAAATCGGTCGGATTCAATCCGGACAACCCTGAGATCGATCGCAAGGGATGTGTCCAGTTGTGCAACCCAAGTCTCCATAGTTTCACCCCAAAATCACTTGAGCCACAAGCAAGAGTATTTTTCTGCCAGAAACATGGGGAAAAATTGCCTCGACCGGTCCGGAGCCCTCAAAAAAAAAAACTCAGCCCTGCCCACCTCGGAGAGGCCGCGCGCGGGCCCGTCTGTGCCTAGAGTATCCCAGCGCTTCCATTTGCCCTACTGGGCTGCCCTCAGATCCCCCGCCAAAAGTTTAACTTTTAGTGGGTTAAATGGAAACTACCACTAAACACTAAAAGGATCTCAAAAGCTAAGGAACCGGATGGCTGGGAGCCACCAAGCCTATGTACCCATGAACGGGTACCACAGTCCATTCTTCGTGGTTTCACTTCCGGTCCTGGAAGCTACTCGCAAACAAAGATGGAATCTGCGCCAACTGCGTCAGGAGTGCTCGCCAGGCACTAGTTCCTAAGAGTCAACCAAATGGGGAGCCAGCTGAGACCCATGTTCCCTCTTATGAAAACATGGGTCCAGGTTCCTCGCAACCCCCCCCCCAACCCCGCCCCAAGACCCCTGAGCAAGAATCAGTTTCAGCCCTTGGGATTGCTTGGCAAAGTTGATACAAAGCGGTCCTTGGCATTTCCTCGCTAACTCCTTTAGCCCCATGACATGAAAAGAGCTCTAGGCCCAACCCCCAACCAACTCGAAACCAACGGCCAGGGAGAGACCGTTGAAGCATGCGCTACTTGGCGCCCAAACTGGAAAACCCGAGACTCTCGCTCTTAAGCCCATGGTCCATGGGGCAAATCCTTCCATATGAAAGCACCAGCCTCGCTTCTGGCTTCAAGAGGCGACCAAATTGAACTTCCCGTCGGCTGATTTCAATCGAAACTTCGAGCTTGTCGCTTTTGAATGGCTTCGAAGGAGGACCGAGTTAGACTCACCATTGGATAGGCCTACAGTAAACTTGCCATAAAAACTATAGTGCAGAGTCGTTCCAAATGGAGACATGGACAAGGGGGGCCAAATCCTTTGCAACCCCCTGGTTTTACGACTGCCAATTGAAACTTGGCCAGTGTCGGGAAGATTTATGTTTGCTTGAGGATAAACTCGGCATCACGACGAGCACAAAAAACGGTCCGCCGCTAAACGTCTCTGAGCGAATATCGAGTTTGTGTTGACAGGGGCCATTGCAATTCCAACCAGAACATGGCAACATGGTGGAAACTCCTTGCAGCCACAGCGGCTCTGTGGCAATGAGTCAGAAAATGGTCTTCGACCCTTGCAACAAGTCTAACTCTTTGCTCCAGCGGGGAAACTGTCATGATTCAAGAGGTTGCGTATGTCAATGGGTGACCCTTTTTAGGGTAACAAATAGGCTAATAGGGATGCTACATGATTGGCAAGCGATCGGATAACCCCTTTTTTGAGGCTTCTGAATGAGGGGAAGCCCAAAGGAGGAACTGTTCATCTGAGTCATAGTCAAAACCCCATCGGTATTTTATTGGTCTAACCAAATTCATGTAAGAAAATCAAAACCTTCATCTACCCGGGCTGTGAGGGTTGCATTTCGCAGTCAAAACTGAATTGTGCATCAGGACAGTCCCGCTGTGCATAATCGCCTCTACGTGTTGAGCCGGGCATCAAATGGTGAACCCTTGTTGGCATGGCTTCATTTTTGCCCTTGTTGGCATGGCTTCATTTTTGCCGCGCCGAATCCTCTCTTGGCATGTATGTTTTCGGGGAAGGTGTCTTTGTTCGTAGTAGTTAAAATCGAAAACCCACTGCCCAGTTGTTCCCACTGCAGAATCTTCAAGTCAGTTTGCACCAGGTTCAATACCTTTTGCTTCAGGTTGACATACCCTTCAAGAAGACCACCTGTAATTTGCGGCGACTTGCGGGTCCCATGGGCCCGGCACCCGGCCTTTCGGCTGTTCTTGCCGCTCCGAAGGATCCGATCGGGGATTGGGTGATTGGGTCCTCGGGCGATCGGACCCGTGGATGCGCTCGGAGCGGGAGGACTCGGTGTCCTCCTCCTTCACCACGGGCCTTGGCCGCGACCCGCGACCCACGACCTTTTTTGCGGCGCGCGCTTTTGGTTCGGGGTGGCATCCAAATGCGAACCCTACTTCAAGGCCAAGTACCAACAAAACCTGCAAGCTGTAAGCTTGATCTGGAGAAATTTGGGTCGAACACCCAAACATCCAACAAGGGGGTTCACATCTCACCCGCCACAATTGGTCAGGTTTGGGGGTAGGACGGCTGTCTGCATTTGCAAGGGACGCCAAACGAATTGGAAAGCCATTTGAGGTCCCCCGAATGGAAGCTCTGCATATCCTGGACAGGTCGTTCAGGAGTCATGTACATGCACAGTCCAGCTTTCCAAGGTCACCGTGTCAACCCATGTTGATTGGTGTAGACTCGGGTGAAATTTAGTGGCACAATTCCCTTTTATTTGGAACAGTACAAGGGATGACTAATCCACAATGAGGGAACTGTGCCAGCCTAGTCTCATCCAACTATAGTTCTGAGAGCTGATTCCTTTTCCATTCCCTTCATGTCTTGTTCGTATCAGGAACCAGGCATAATGTGTGTGGCTTTGGGGAGTTGTCTGCAAAGAAGCAAGTATCCTTGGAGAGAATGGGGAGGTACAGCTAGAACAGTATCATTGTGGGCTGCCTGCCGGTCGTCTCATGGGCGGACATCTCTGTTCAGGATACCAATCCATCAACAAATCAGGCTGCCAATATAAAGGGTTGCTCAAAACGCTCATGTAATCCATGATGAATAAGACCCTGGTTGATTCATAGGGTGTGTCCTGTGGGAGAGACAAAGCTTTACTTTGTATTCATCTATTTATTTATTTATTTTTGGGGAGGAAGCGACACCGTAATACTCCACAAGGTTGATAATCCAGGGTCAACATTACAGGTGAGAAAGAGGTTCTTGAGGTTCATCATCCGTGGTCGAAACTCCGTTTCACGGCCACACGGCCACGGCCAAAGTTCCCAGAAAAATCGTGTGGTGTCCGTTTGGGAACGACAATAGATGGTGGATGAAACGAGTTGTCAACCAGTGGACCAGGGTCATCCATGTCTGTTTTTTTGTCGATGTTTTTTGTTCAAAAAACAAAGAACACTGTTGTGGAGACCTATGAATCCTCCAGGGCCATCGATGTTTTTGGTGAATGGAGACATATGAATCCTGACTCTCTTAGAGGAAAACAAAAAAAAACGGCTTCCTGGTTCCCCGTCCCGCTTTTAGAAAATGGTCTCATTGAGCTTGAGGCTTCCAATGAGCCCCAAAGGTGACCGTTGAATTATGTACCCAAACCAACTCCTGGCGTTTCAGAAAGATACCAACAAAACGTTTTTGTCGGAGAAGAGAGTTTACCTTGGACACCAACAATGGTGAACTGAAACTTGGTCAACTGACTTTTTTTGGGCTGTGTAACAAAGGGGGTCATGCTGAATGAACTTGTTCCTGGGTGCGGAAGAGTAAAATCCCTTTCTGTGCTAGCAAAGCAGGTCACTTCCCATCGGCGTTTCCCCCTTCTTCCTCGCCCTGGGCCTGAAGCAAACACACCCCCGCTCATAACGAAGGGGGAAACCTAGGGGAAAACTCATTTCAAGGGAAAACCAAAACCCACAAGCCACAAGCCACAAAAACCAACACACGCACTCAAAGCCGACGAGAAGCCGAAAGCCTCCAAACCCCAACCTGTGAGGCTTCGCAAAGGGCGCGCAAATTTGGGCTCCACTTTTGTCTCTCCTAAACACACATGCCAGCTTGGTTGACGTTGGGTTAGGGAAGCAAACATTCTCAAATTTTAGCAGTTAAGTGGCTGGATTTCAACCACTAAACCTCAATAAGCAAAAATGTAAAATGTTTCCCAACAACAACCAAGCCAGGAACAGTGAAGCTTGGCATGCCCCCCCCATTTCAACCCCCCCGTTCCGAGAACCATCCGCTCGCCAAGTGGCGGCACTGCTTCTGGCACTTTGGGCTCCTCTGCCTCGAATATCAACTCCCCGAGTCCGGATCCCCTCTGACATGGGCCCCCCCCTTGGCAATCAATAGAGGCTGAGTCATCCTGAGTTCCCTCCCGCGGTTTTCTCTTGACGTTGAGTGCCACAAGATTCTGTCTCTGGGCTTCCCGCCAGAGGGGAAACTCTTTCGCTATATCTCTGGAGTTTGGGCGTTGGACCCCTTCATCGGCCATAGTTTGGCCCCGTTGCCACTCTCAGCCCACAACACACAACTGGAATGAGGGGCGCACCATTTGAAGCCTCTGGGTTTGAGCCCCTCTCGAACCCCAGGGCCCTCTAACAACAGCGGTTTGAGCTCACTCCACTCTGCCCAAACTTCTCAGAGAACTCGCTTTCGGGCCATGGACGGGACGCCAACCATGGTGAGTGTTCTTGTGCTTTCCTTTGAAAACCACCCGAAAAGGGGGTACCCTGAGAGCAAAACACCCATACTGCTATGCAAGCTGGTTTTGATTTATCAGTACAGGTGACCAGGGAACCTTCAAAAACAAATAGGCGCATCTTCTGATCTGCCGAGCGAAACTCTGATCTGCTGAGGTCAATTGAGTTGGGGACGGTCCTTTTTCTGCCAACCTACCGGAGCCCAAATCCACCGGCTTTTGAGGTCGATTTGGGATGCCGGGATGCTTTGGGCCGGCATGATCTCCCCCCTTCCCCGGATGCTGCTAAGGGGGCTCACTGCGCTGCAAAAAAAAAAGAGCTGCAGGATTGTGCACAAGGACAGCATTCCACGCTGCCCCCAGTCGCAAGGTCACACGATATTTGTGTGTTTCCCTTTGTTGACCCCCATCACGGCCTTGCTGGAAACGCCTTTCCTGGAGATCTCCGGGATACTGCGAACCCTTTTGTGCAAGCTGGGGGGCCGTTTAATCGAGGGTTCACTTGTTCCCGACAGCTGTCCAGCTTGAGACATGCGCCAACATGGCCTCAAAGGGAAAACTATGGTTCTGAAGTTGGAACCAAGCGGTGTGTCTGTCAAGCCGCACTGCCCCAAGCTGCCCAAAGACAGAAACTTGCAACCAATTGTCGCGTCCCACTCGGTTACCCCCACCAAAGTCCCTTAAACACCAGCCAAACAACCTGGGTGTGGGGCCACAGGCGCGTCAGCTTTAGCCGATCCTGGCGCACGTCCCGCGCGAGACTGGCGAAACCACACGAAGTCCGAAACAGGAAATCAGGCTGAGGTGTCCTATATATAGCGTTGATCAGAATAAATTGGATGAATAAGAGACACGCAAAGGGAACATATTTGTTCCATTTTGCCTTCCGAACTTCGTGGGAGAATGAGGCCATCAACATCCCTCCCATGAAAGTAAGGTTCCTGGAAACGTAGAATCGTCTGTAACTGGGGTTTGCACAACATCTGGGGGTCCCGAAACCGGATGTCTTAACAGAGTGATTTTCCCAAACCCCAAATCGCCCCCACCCCCCACCCCCCACCCCACACTTAAACTCCAAATGGAGAGTGCTAATCTTTCGAGTACAACTGATGAGTCTCGAGTACAACTGATGAGTCTCGGCTGAGTTCTGCTTGCAAGTCACTTGGCTTCACTTTAGAAACGAAAGCGTTACCCGAAAGAACAAGAAGCACAAACAGCGCCGCAACCAAGGGGCCAAATAGACATTCAGAATCACTTGCAGGTACGCATTGAGGCGTCCCTCAACGCTTCCGGCCAAACTTCCATAGCTTCGTTGGCGTGGCTAGGAAGATGGCTGCCACGCCCCCTGCTGAGAAACCGAAAGGGTGGTGACAGGGCATTCTGTCACTCCGCACACACACGCCCCTCAATGAGGGGCGAGGAGTCTCCTTTTCCGCAGGAAAATCACATGCTCAACCCCGTGTCCCTATCGTTGACCAAAAAATCCACCGCGGCGAGGGGAACGAGAAACAGCCCTAAACCGCTCAGAAGACGGGAACGAGAGATCACCACGTTGAGCATTACGAGTGTCGCCATAGAGGACTGAAGCGAGTTGTGAAGCAGTCGAGCGATCACCATGAGAAAACGGAGTAGCATAGGTGAACGTCTCCTCAACTGGAATGGCATCGGAATTCCGAACTTCACCAAGAGATTGATCATGCGAATGATGAGTTGTGAAGGACTCCATTCGAGACAGAATGCGCTGGTATCCCTGATGCTGCCAGTCGCGGATGGTCCATGCCTGACCGTGCTCACCAGTGCGCCCATTGGGATCAGTCACCCGCTGCCATTCCCGAAAAGAATTGTCTGGTAGATTAGGTACAGTTTCTCCGTGGTGCCATCGCTGAGGCTGTCCTGCAGTGTAGATCCGCACCCACTCCTGATCCTGCCAGACCGAGTATTCGAGCCATGGGTGCTGCTTCGAATCCTCGATGTCCATGTCGAAGTAAGAGGCAAGGCGTATCGCGGGCTCCGATCCAGCTGATAGAGGAACAGGCACCATGCACAACCATGTACAAGCAACAACCAAGCAAGGTAATGCAAGTGTGAAAACCACCCTTATTTTGTACGCCACCCCACTCGCGTGCGTCTAGTCCTCATTTAGCTCGAAGATAGGTCTCGCCTTGGCTTTGCAGCTGTCGGAAGGATTAACAGGCCGGTATGGTTCGGAGACCCCAACCGTCTCCGATGGTGTGATTCCACGTGATGCACGTACAGGTTGATGAAGTTGGGAAGCGTGACGTGCGCGAGCTGTCAGTTGTTGAGAAATCCCCTCTTGGAGTCGAGTCAGTTCTTCGGTAGAGAAATCCGCCGCATCCGAGGATCTAAGGATCGCTTCTAACATCTGCGGTGACATACTCAATGCCGCGGATTGCGTGGCCACGCTGTGATGATCAGGAAATGACATAGAATCAAAGTCATGACCAGCTTGAGGGGCAGCGACTCTCCGATAGCCCTCTGTGGCCCAGTCTCTTTTGTACCACATGGTGACATTGAGCTGCTCACCGTATTGGTCCGGGTTGGGAGCATAGAACTCCCTCCACTCTCTATACGTGTGCGGTGGAGGTGGAGCATCATGTTCTTCATGTGGAGTCCATGATCCCGGATGAAAGATCTTGACCCACTGGGCATCTGGTTGTTGAGGATCCGGACACCATTCCAGCCACGGCATGACAACGCAAACCCGGAAAGACAGATTGATAGGTGTACGGCTGCAGACAACAATTACTGCAAGAGACACAACAACAACCACGCAAGCAATCACTTTTGCAGCAATGCACGGCTCAGTTGTTGAAGTCCATCTCCTGAATCGAATTGAATTGAATAGTCTGCCCAGGAAGACGAGGACGAGCATCAGCCACCATCTGAGTTTGAAGATGCTGACGAAGAGGTCAGCCCAGCGTACATGAGGTCCGGTGAACCCGAAGCGAAAACTGGACGCGCAATGCTAGGGTGTGGACGACCCAGCCGTTGATATCCCCTGGTGACCCAGTCCCGATAATGCCAAGTGTAGAAGGATGCATAAGAGACCGGCTGAGCAACAGCACCCATATTGGTGCCGCCCGTGCTCTCCCTTGGCCAATACACTTCGAAGTGGTATACTTTGCGCCACTCCCGATAGGTGTTTGAGTCCTCCGGGGCTGGCCCCAAGGTGTTTTCGGCGACTGGATGCCACGGACCCGGTACATAGATCCGAATCCACTCAACCTCTGTGTTCGCGGGTCCATTGACGATGTCATAGTCAAAGTAGTGTGGCAGGACCCATCTTGCAGCGCCATACATTGTAGAATTGAACATATCAACCAGGCAAGCCGCTTGAAGTCATAAAGGAAAGTGGCGAACACATGGAAACGGAACGCACAACACAAAGCAAGACAACCCAACATGGAATCACACTCAACGCAGGAACAACCGCGTCATTTTATCCGACATGCTGCCAAAGTATCACTCCGAATCATTCCAAGGGTCATAGAATGGTGGCGGTGAAGGTTCCCGCCACGCCCCATCCGGAACAGATGAGTCCACCGAGGAATTGGCGTCCGCATTCACGAGCGTCGCAAATCCAATGGCTGTCACAGGAGCTCCAAGACGTTGATACCCTCGTGTTTGCCAGTCGCGGTACTCCCAGACGTGGTAGGACACATACGAACTGGGCGTGATGACGGGGTCCACTGTTGTTCCTCCGGTGCTGTCTTCTGACCAGCACACTTGGAAACGATATGACCTGCGCCACTCCCGATACGTGGAAGCGTAGACCGGGTCGAGCACTGGAGCATCATCGGGAACGGGTCGCCACGTGCCCGGTGAGTAAATTCGAATCCATTCCACTCCTCTGTCGATCTGGTACTCGATATATTGAGGGTTCATAGCGGCAAGACAGGCTATCGCGCGGCCGCTAAAAGCAATCGAAATTCTGCGGCAAAGACACACATGCAATGACAACCGCGCGCAGCTGAAGGGATGCAAGGCAACTTTTCAAACTCAAGGTGAAACACATCAGCGAGGTGTGTAATTTACGACGCCTAAGCTTCACCGCCGTTGATGCCGCGCACACCTGCAATGATAATGTCCTGGTCGTCTACGATCACAAGGGGAAAGACATTTCCGCCCATGGCGCAGGAAGGCATGACAGTAATGCTTGCAATTTGCCGATGGGGACAGGGATGGACGGCCAGCACGTTTGGAGGGGAACACGGTAAAGGGCCGCCGAGATCTCCGCGGTGCAGAAGCGGATGCTGTCCGAGATCGTTTGGAGGAACGCCCTGGACTGCGTAGCTCTTCATCACGGGAATGGTCAGTGCTGTAGATCGAGCGGCGTGTGCGCTGCGATTTCGATGTGGCAGGGCAGGATTGTCCGCGAGGAGCTGAGATCGAGGGGCTCCGTACTGAGGGCATAAACTGTGGGTGTAGAATCACCGGTGGTGGTGGCGGTGGAGGAGGCGGAGGTGGAAGAAGCAGTGGGAAACTTGGTGGGGGCGGAGGTGACGTAGTCTGCCGAATGGGTCTGTCAAGCAGGGCTCCAGGTCCGTGAAACTGTAACCACGTCGGCTGCGCTCCATGGGTCCAAGTAATGTACGTCTGTACGACTTGTTCCGACATGATTTGAGCAACTCAGTCATGCATTCAATTCACGTCAGCGGCAACACCCACAACGGCAAGCAATATTACCCTGGTAAAATGCCAGTCAAGTGCAAGCAAGCAAATTTCATGTGATCAATAATGACTGCAATCCCAACCGTCGCAACAACCTGCAGCGCTAACCGAATACACCGCCACGGCCTACCATTTAGTCCTCCTGTGGTCGCTGTTGCATTTGATGACCGGGTTCCTAGCCGCGAGCCTCAAGTTGCTGATAGACCTTCCATGCCTGCTTGACTTCCTCAATGGGCTTCTGAAGGAACCGAGCAATGGTTTTGTAGGTGGGCCTGGAATCCTTGTCTTTCTTCCGTCGCACCATCTCATCCAGCTCACCCTGTGTCCATGCCGTGAAAGGTTCACGGTGTGCATTGCGAAGTGCAATGGTGAATTCTTGTAGAAGTTCCCGAGGTCCATGAACCACCGTAGGAGACGGTCGGAACGACGAGGCACCTGGATGTGGACGCACTGAACCATCAGAATCCGAGTCAGGTGTCGTAGGCGTCATCTGTCCTGGTTCTCGTCCGCCGTGTGGGGCTAAGGGAGCAAGCGGCCGTGGTGGTGGCAGGTGATCCAACATCGATTCAGGCCGACGACCAGAATTGTTGTCAGCGGCATCCCGATGTGCCGCACGAGGCGGGGATAAGGCCGGTATATACCAGGTGGATGAAGTGTCCAAAGGTCGGGTTCGAATTCGAGTGGGAGAGCGGGATCGGTCAGACGAAATGCGCTCTGTGATGATGCGAGGGCGCAGCCCGTGCCTGGAGTTCCGTGGTGCCCTGGGAGACACTCTAGTGTCCGACGGATGGCTTCGCTCGGTCATCAGGGCAAAGTTCAGGGTGTCCAGAGCTGTCGCAACTTGGGATGCA